CTTCTACTTACTCAAAGATAGAGAGCTTTAAGTTTCTTTAATTATTTAAACTATACAAAAGATGCCAGTATCTGGGTTTTTTCATGGTTTCGCTACTTCTCATGCATATGCTGGAAGTTCCTTTCCCTGAGGATATGGTAGCTTGGAAATGGAAAACTTGGGCTTTACATAATGGAATCCATGCTTGGACTTCTGTATTCTTTCAGTTTGCCTTCATTCTTGAGTGGGTTCTTATTAACTTGTAGCTCTGCAAAGAACAAGTAATTTAATGCTATCTGGGATGTACTGTTTATAGAGTAGGCCTGAAGTTCAATTCAACAATGCCCCAACCTGTAACAGCAATCAATCAGCTATTCAAATGCTTCAAGAAGAAAGTCAGACTTCAACTAGTTAAACTTCTGTAGGACAGATTTCCTGGAGTCTAAAGGAAGCGCTTTCCTTCATTTCCAGTTCCAGGCTTACATATGAGCTAGTGTTTTCAAAACTCCGGTCTTATGTCAGCTATTTTAACAAGTGAATTTTGCTAATACTCAAATATTTATTTTCTACATTTTATTAGGAATTAGCACCTTTGACATGGTATCAGTTAAAGGCCAGGTGTCAACAATTAATTTCTTAAGGTTGGATTATAGTAAATGCAGTGACAAAAACTGCGCTATGCATAAAGCTATGAGTGAAGGACAATTTAACAGAAATGAAAAGGAGTTAAAAAGAAATGGCTGGAAAACTATGTTGATTTTACCGTCACCTGAACTACTCTGGTAGCATTGCTGTACAGTTTGTATTCAAACTACATGGGGATTGATCTTACAGCATGTTTAAATTGGCACCATTTCAATGAACAGAACAGCTCTTGACTTGAAACAGCATAATGCTGATTCGCACTGCTCTAATACCTCTGAAACATTCCAGTATGCCCTACCTGCAATATGAAAACACACACCGATATTTAGGCAATTTCTTCCTTCATATGAATTTTCAGGGAAGGTTTCAGATGCAATCAGCTAAGGCTTTCTGAAATGAAGTCATTAAAAACTGTACAGAGAAGAAGGAAATTCTGTGGAAAGGAGAGTCTTGTTAGGCAAAAGATGCCAGCAATCGAAAAAACTTATAGCAGTAAATGCTACAAAGCAGTCTTGGCCAATAACCTCTTTCATCAAACACCTATCATTTTCTGTAACAGTCATGAGAACAGAGTATGAAATAGGTCTGTAACTTTACCACTTTTGGGATCAATAAACCAGTCTATTCTGAGGAAACTCTTAAAAGCCATCTAGTATTTAATGAAGTGCATCTGAAAGGCCAGATTTCACTGACACTGTTTAAACACGGTTTATCAGTTATGAAGATTATCAGAAAAACACAGCACAAACTAACACGCCCATCAGGAATAGAAAACCAATTTACAGCGAGAAGGTGTACAGGGCTCAGGAACTTGGTCACAGTATGGAGAGGCTGCATGGGGCCAGACAAAGGTATCTGGTTTAGGATGAGGATGAGGAAGATGAGAAGATACAAACAGTTGGAGAGGAGACTCAGTTCTTGAGAGAGAAGATGAGGAAGTATCAGAGGCTAAAAAGCGAAACAAAGAGAATGATAAGGGTGTGGGGGAGCGGGAAAGAAAAAAAGATCCAAGAACAGGGTTTAATGGACTCATGGATGCCAAAAAATGCAAAGCATTTATTTCACCATTCAGTAAGATGGAAATGGCTTCTACATAAAATAAATATCACTTCTGAAAGCAACATAAAAAAACTCCAACCCTGTACTCATATGTACTCTCCGTCCATAGTAAACTAGATTTAAAAAAAAAAAATTAAAGATTTTTGCCCTATGTTCTAATGCATAAATTTGTAAAATGTATTTAAGGGGAAATAAAGACCAAAGTTTAAAACTCAGCTACTATTCTTTCTTCTTTGGATGAACTCAGTGGACTGCAATCAATACACAACAAATTGAATAATCTGTTTTTAAAAAGATTGAGTGCAACTTACCTTAACCAAAATAGCCAACTGAGTCTCGAGTGATTTGCATATACATATCTATCTTTGGGTAGGAAATGTGCCTGCCTCCCTGGGAGATTTTACTTCAGTGATTGATTCATCAAAACTTTTTTTTTTCCCTCCATATTTATTTCCTTCATCAATATATACAAATCTGGGTGTATGCCACTCATGGCAAAGCAGCTGAAATAGAAGGCAAACTTGAAGTAGATTTGCCACAGGTATTTTCAGGGCATTAGAATTAACAGTCTAACCTTGTAAGAAATCTACTATACACTCTTTTTATACTTCAAAGGTTACACAAACTTGAGTCATTTAATCATTTCTGATTATAGGATTGGTAAGAGCTCTATAATAAAACTGTTTTTTTAAAGACTTTTTTTTCTTTTTCTAAATTTACACTTAATTGGTACATCTAAGAAAAAGAATGCTTTACACCCATTACAGCTAGATGTATTTTTTTAAAGGATTTTAAAATTCAAATTGCAAGTACATAAGACTTTTGATTTGAATTTTAGCTCTCATTTCTTGGTATTCAGATTGGCTGAGCTCAGACTAGACAGACAAAGGGGATCATCATCATACGTGGCAAGCAAAGTTAGGAAGGGGAAAATTTCCAAATGTTCATGTGTATGCACACACATAAATGCATACACATGGTAACATTATACTGCATAAAGAGGAGGGAAGCAAACATTTCTGTCCTAAGAGAATTTTCCACAATACCCTTCCTGCATAACCTTATTTTAACTTTTTTTTTTTTATTTAAATGTCAAATTCCTTTTGCATTTCTAAACACTGAGGATCCACAGAATTTGCCTGAGCTCTTTCAGCCTGTAAAGGTCTAACATCTCAACCATCTATTGTTTTCATCCTCTACTTTTTGTGAACAGTTTTTTTGATAGTCTGCCTAAAGTCTTCTCAGTCAAACACTATGACAAGCTTGACTTCTTTGATTTTTATAGTACTTTTAATGTCTGCAAAATTTTCATGGAATCTTCTGGATGAAGAATTTTGGGCAAAACTTGGATATTGAGCTTTTATATGTATACTAATGTATAGATACAGTAGATAACAAAGCTGTAGTGCTTACCAGAATAGGTTTCTTCTGCTAAAATTAACAATTAAAAAAGAAGAAAAAAAAAAACCCAAAAAACCCCAACCCTAACCCCATGACAAACAGGAAAAAAAGGGACCTCCAACCTATCCTCCACAATTACTTTTTATAAGAAAAATAATCAAAAAGAGATCCCATATTTTTAATTTCTCATCTTATCCTCCTTGACAGTAGAGGTAAGCTCTAACAGCACAGCTGAGATTGAGAAAAAAAAAGATAAATTGGTACTTCTAGAAAAATCAGAAGGTATGTATAGATTATTTTCCACTTAAGATATTGGCTGCAGGATTTGAATCTGGGGCAAGTATCTTGAAAAGTTCACTGTTTTGGATGAGGGTTCATCTTTACTGAACAGTGTTGAGGAATATGCAGTCTTTAAAAAGCACCAATTCATTATGCTCTCAAGTGTGGCAGATATAAAATATGAAACCCTAAAGGTGGAGATCAAGAGCTTTGTGTCCCCATGGGGAAAAAACAAACAAAACCCCACAACTAACCACAAAAAACCTTCCACAACCCTCCCCCAAACACTTTTTTGAAGGCATAAAATATATTTTCTCTATGTCTGTCTATATATGTATATGAAACCTTTAAAATCTAGTTATGTCCTTAAAATGAAACAATGAACTAGACTAGAATATAGAATTATCACTATAGAATTGCATAATGTTATCTTATACATTTGAATTATACGAATAGAAGATGACAGAAAGCTAAGTTATGCCATACTTCCGACCATATCATATTGCAATTCTTTGAAATCAGGTGATGTGATCTTTGTAAAACTGTTTGCCACTATAGCAAGCACAGAACACTTTAAATTTACTTACATGATTTCCAAATCAAGTGAACATTCGATCCAACTTTAACTTTCAGAAGTAAAACATCTAAATTGGATTTCTCTACTGTAAATTCTGATATTAAACAAAGAGATACTTTTCACATTTCAATGTATCTTAATTTATGGGTCAGTGTATTCTAATTCACAGGCTGGCAAACCTTCCCATAAGCTGTGTCAAAGTGTGATTAAGTAGAAATTCACATCTGAAAGGTGTCAGGAAAAGCATGCTTCAGTTTTGAGATAAAACCCAGGAAACAGAAAACTCTCAATATTTAGAATGCAAGTAACATACTGTAAAGATTTTTGGATCTAGCATCATCATGGTAATTCATTCTGCAATTTTCACAGAATGCATGGCTCACCTGCTTTTTGGTTGATTTTATGATTTTTAAGGCATATCAATTTGCATTGTGATAACTTTAATATATTAAAAATAGGCAAATTACATGTAAATATTTACCGACATGGAACAATCATAGCTTTGATGCAGTACACCTGTGCACCACAATTTTTGATATGTATATAAAAATATCACAGTATATATGATTTTGCTTATAATGTCAAAGATATGTCTACAGTAAGTCAACTCACTCATGTAATTATATTTTAATATATATTAGAGATTTTAATAAATTTAATTAGCAACGATGTCTTCAGGTTTTTTGACATTAAAAGTTTTCTGAATTTTTTCTGATTTACCTTTTAAAAAGAAAATATGTGCAAACACCAAATGGACAGAAAAGCATAGGACTTTGGCAAATAGGCTAGTTCAGCATACCAATTTTTAGCCTTGGCATAAGAAAATACCACTAAGCACAGCAAGACCCATACTATAGCTATTTTAATTTACGGAGAATATGGCCAGCAAGTACTTAATAAATAAAAATAAAAATCTTATATTGCACAATGTTTTTTTCCACTTATATGACAACAATGAAAATGTTATTTCATTTTGCAAAATAAAACAAAAAAATGAATGCAAAAATCTAGCTATGGGCAGATCATTTTACTTATTTTATTGCTCAAATTCAGTTCTTACCTGTTTCAGGATCACTGAAATCTGGTAATGTAATTGTATTAAGCTGTCGTCTATCAGCAATAGCTCTGTCTAAGAGGCTGCTCCCACGTCCGGAATCACTGTAACGAAGTATAGAAATTGTAAGCTATTAAAATATAAAATTATATACTGAGATACAACTTGCACGCTGCCCTCCTCCCACAAAGGTTCTTGCTATAAATGTTCTTGCTATGAACAAATTTAGTACCAAGCACCACTAACCACTCACAGTGCATTAAGCCAGCTGCATTAAAACAGAATTAAGCTGAGCAAAACCAAACCCATATTTACTTCAGCAATTCTGTTTTCATAATTAATACTGCCATGAAGGGAATATAGGCTTTTAATTTGATTCATAGCTAACAGCTTTACAGAAAGTATTTATTGTACCTTAAACTTGTAAGACGAGGTACAGCCCTCAAAGTAAGCGGAGATGGCAGATGTAAGTTTGAAAATCCACACTTTTCCCAGACTGAAGAGAAACACTAAACTCAAGACAGCTAATTTTAGGTAAAGACATTACAAAGATGCCATAACTAGATTTCACAGAAAAAGGCATCGCTTTATCTCTAGAGTTTTGGGTTTGGGTTTTGTTGGGTTTTGTTAAATACTCACACATTAACTACATAATGATGAATTTGATCCTAATAGCACAGTAGGAATGTTTTGAACACTTCCAACCCTCAGGAGCCTAAGGAGTAGCAGTGGCTTTCACTGATTGTTCCTGTGGACAAATGCACTTTCTACTTTAGATGTAACTCAGTATCTGTCCATCAGGCTTCTTGTTGATATACCTACTGGAAAACTAATTGCTCCTAGAATTACTATTAAAGATTCAGCAGAAGATCAGGGACCGAACAACTAAGTGCTCCTTCTCCTTAAGATGAGGTGAGTATTGAGACACATTGACAGAAAAGTGTGAGGAAGCACATATGGGCACTCCTTCTTTAACATTCTATGGTTAATGTAGTAATTTCATTTTAAGGATTGCAAGTCTGGTACTATTCACTCTCAATTAATACTTTTCTAAAAACCTCATTTAAAAAAAAAAAAAAGCACCCCACAAACTTAAAAATTATTAAGCTTTAAAGCAATTGGGCTGTTAGCCCAACTTAGCAGAGTGCAAACATTTGTCTGATTCTCAACGAAGAGAAAAAACTTCACAAAATTCCTAGCTTAAAGTAAAGCCTGAGAGACTTTATTCTAAACTGCAAGACTGGAATTCAGTACATCTTTCCATTTGCCTTAAAATCCCCTCCTTCCGAATTTGAACTCAGAGAAGGGCAAGAAGCCTTTCAGCAACTCTTTATAGTTGCACACTTCAAAAACCAGTGAAACAACTTGCTCTGTTACTAAAATAGTATAAATAAAATTTTGCACTACCCTAACATTATTGCATGACTGATTTCCTTATAGAATGATGCCATTATAGAAATCCACAGGAAGCAGAAGGGAACTTCCTGGGACACACTCTATCGGCTACAGTTGTTACATCAGTTGGTGCATGTTTTCTGCTAACCGCTGTATTAATTACTTCCTCAATCCACAAGTAATGACATGCCAAATGTTGCTGACAAGGAGAGCCAGGCTTAGCTTAAGTATCTTCTAAGCACTGGTTTGTTCTGTTTTCCCAATGCAAACTAAGAACTGGAAAAGTACTGAACTATTTTCTAATGAACTTCAAGCAGCAGGCTGGAGATAAACATTTAAACCTTCCAAGCCTTGCACCACAAAATAAGTTTTAAATGAATATTAACCACCTCATGAGAAAAATGTTTGTATGCCAGTTAAAGACAAAAGAAAACTGTTCTAAATCAGCTGAACAAAGGTACGGCACAGTGTTGCATTTAGCCCTTACTTTGTGTGGTATATATGGTTATACATAATTTACTGTCAGTATTAAAAGATTCTTGAGGACACCAAACCCAAGTTTACTCCACAAAATCTGATTACTTGTAAGAAGAAATATTTAACATAAAACATAGCTTATCAAAAAAGTGAGTTCTTGTCTCATTGGGAAAACAATACATCAAAACTAGTTTTCAGTCTAAATCAGAATAGAAAAAGAAGTTTCAAATAAGCATAAAGGCTATTTAAATCTTCAAAAAACAACATTCTAAAAAGTTTTCAAATTATTAAAAGACCTTTTATTATTGGCTTAAAGAACTATTAAAGAAAACAAAGCTTCAATTAGTTCCAGTAGGAGACGTAATTTTCAAAGGGTGCTTTTCAACAACATGAATTGTGTATTAAAATTACAGAGGTTGGAAAACTGAAGGTTTCACAGCAATCCTGCATCATCGTTCTTCACTAAATCTGGAGTGCAGTTGGGTGAACAGAACTTCCCAGTCATGTTTCAGGTCTGTGTGATAACTGTTATTCCAGTCAGACAGATCTGCATCACCATGAGACAATATGAAGGTATTCAGCCCATACATTTCACATGGACCACCCAAAGAAAGGTTACAGCTTCCTATCCATATTTACTGTTTGCTAGAACTCTGAATGTGTCATTTGTGAAACCCGTCTCCTTCCATTGTGACATGTGTCCACAGCTTCTGTCCATTTCATTCCTAATTTGATTTTAATTTGTTACCAAAAACCAGAACTTCAAGCAAAGCTTTAAATGTCAAGATAAAAAAAAGTAGTAAATACTACCAGATGCAAAATAGTCTTTGTTAATTTTTCCACTTAGATGTTCTTGAAGGAGAACAGTGACATGCAAGTTAGCAAACATTGCTGTTTGAAGCTGACACAGCCAAGAGTAAGTTTTCACAGTCATTGCTGATGTCTGAAGGAAGCATTACTTAACATGTATTTAACATGGCACAGTGGCTCTTATCACAACAACAACAAAGTAACGACAAGCCATGATTAGAGCCCTGATCTAGGCAGAGGATGTAACATGCAAAGCCTCACTGAAATTAAGCTTATGTACCAATTGTACATAAACTGTTCCTGCTCTGTGCAGCACAGCATTCTGACAATAAATTCTTAACCCCCCTCCCCACAGGCACAACCAGCCAACTAAAATAAACCACCATCCGCTAAATCAGAAGGGGAATTCTCTCCCAGTTCCCTGCTGCTAGTTCAAGTGACTTCAAATTGAAAATAATTATTGATTGAATTGACGTGTTGAATGGTACCAGCACAGATTTCTGCAAAGTGGCCTTCCCGTTTATTTCACAGCTTATCTAAATATATGTATGGCAAAGGACCTTCCCAGAAGCACTCTGGAAACCCAAATAGGACTACATCAATTTATCCAAATACTTGCTAATGCCTTTGAAGAACCTAAGTAGGTTCATAAGCAAGATGTCTCTTTCAAAAAAAAAAAAAAGCCATGCTGGCTTTGCAAGCACATCGTATTTATCCATGTGACCTCTGATGTTTCTATAGTCTTAATTAATGTCTAGTCCTCCTTCATTTTATTTAGTGAAAATCCTTGAACTAAATTTCCACTACAGCAAACGCTGCTAGCCAATATAAAAGGCTCTATAACCCAGACTGGGGGAAAAAGCCAGGCAATACCAGTACACCGAGTGCCATCAAGAAGAATGGCAGTGTTTCCCAATCTCTGTAATCAGTCCTCATCACTGCAAAGTTTATTAGCTTTGGTGTACCTCACTTCACAGAACTCTGGGTAGTTTCTGCATGTTCATCAACTGGTGTCTTTGCACTTCAGTCTCCAGATTCCCAGAGGATTAGTTTGTTCATACGAAATACCAGACCAAGTGAAACCAGGACTGCTGACCTAATATTGCCCTGAAAGGCTACTGAGCAAGGTATCGAGCAGCCTAGAATTCTACAGCATCTTACCTTGGGTTAGTGAGATTGTAGCAGGATTTCCAAATCTGGAGCATGTGTTTGCAGGTAAGGAGTGCTTCATCTGGGCCTCTGCACAGGGACTCCAATTTGACTTTCGTAAACAGTAATCTAGTGAAAAGCAAAAGGAAATTAAAAGAGAAAGAAAGGAGATTCCAATTCAAGAAAAAGATTTTTTAAAGATAGCCAACATCACACCAAACTGGAAAAAACATAACTTTAAAGACAGTGTTAATTTAAATAATTGTTTCATGAAGTAATTACAATAAAGTCAAATATCTAACATCATCAAAGTAACAGTGCTTTTTATAAGACGGCCTTTTCAAGTGGACAGAAACAATAGTTGAAAGGATTTTTTAATTTATTTTTTTTTAAATTAAGCAAGACAATATATCTTAGTGAAATTAGCAGGACCACTAAAAACTTCGTATGTTCAAGAGAAAAGAGACATCTTCACTAAAGAAAATCCTTACTACTTTTATGAGAAAGGAAAAGGGTTTTATTCCATTAATTGGCTCAGATGATAGTTGTCTAACATACAACTCACAAAAGAAAACAACTCGGTGCTGATGCAAGTTACTTCCCTATAATACCAACTTCTGTTACAGTAAATGGAAGAGGCTATACTGAAAAAGACACCACTAGACCAGACAGATTCATGGGATGTAGTCAGCATTGGTAAGGTCAACAAGAAAATGTAGCTCCAGTCTACATTATATTGCCATCAGCAGGCACTAAAATTGATGTTTGACTTGAATTTTGAACATTTTGAACATTTACAAGTGACAACATGAAGAAAGCACATCATTCATCAAATATGCAGCAAACTATTCATAATGGAAGCAAACATGTTTGCTGGAAGCCACTATAAATTAATTCTGATTTCAAAGTTGATGTTTCTAATGGCAGCAAGACAAATGATGATGATTGCATATTCCTTTTCCATTCCATGTATCAGTAGAGGGTTCTCCACAGAGATTAACTTACACACCTTCCTGGATAATGAAAGAATATAAAGGCAATATGACAATAAAGGAGCTAGTCACTTGCTACACACATTTATAGGAGTCATAGCATCTGGGATCAGATAATACACTGGAAAAATACTAATTTAAAAGCAGTTTTTAGTAAATTGCAAGATTAAAGAGCACAAAGCAGGAGGAGAGGATGCATATAAAACTGTTACCCTACTTTCTGTTTTTGAACCCAGGTGCACTTTGGCATTTTATTCCAATGCAACCTCAATCATCCTAAGTGAAAAATTTATATGATTGGTCATATGGTTTGCGTGGGAAGACTGAGAAGGGTGGAGAGGGTGGGCATGTGTGAAAGCTCAGAACTTTCTTATCCCAAATACAAACTTCAAGGCTGCTAATAGTAACTGCAAAGTGCCAGAGGGTTTTCTCAAGAATAAGAAATGACATCGAGTGCCTCAGCAAGTTACAGTAGCTAAAGCTGTAGTGTTGCACTGAACCTCCTTTGCAGAAATTACGCAGCATGTAAATCTAAAAATGAATCGCATTACTGTAATTGTACAATATGTGTGTTGGTGGGACTGAGGAGGAATGAAATGCAGGTCATTGAGTTAGTTTAAGAGAATGAGCACCTAGGGATAAGCAAGGTAAATAAGGACATATGGAGTCTCACTTGATGTCTTGTAGGAATGCAGAACAGAGTAATCAGACTACAGATTTACATCAGTAAATCTGATCTGAGAGAACTATATAGATACTTTAAAGTCATATTTCATTTGGTAGAGTGGTCCTCTCTAGATATTTGTTTAACTGTGACTATATCACTGGAAGAAAAAATATCCAAGTCTGTCCATCATTTTACTCAAGCGAGAAGGAGAAAGGACAAATAACATCTTTCTCCCTTCACACTACTACATCTATTCTACCCTTAAACACAAACACACACACCCCCAAACAACAAGACCTAGGTATCAAAACTCAAACCCAAACTCACAGGAATCTCTCTCATACAATCCCTTTCCTTTTTTCTGTATGTAAAAAGAGAGTGTTTTTCACAGTTTGAAGAGCCTAAGGAAGTTCCATTTTTAAAAATTTGTGATCGTACTTAACGAAAGTTATGGAACATCACAAATTCAGAAGCACTAAATTTACAAATCATTCTAGAAAGAAGATAATCAGAATATATACCTTATTACATAATTTACAGATAGACTGAATTTACATTAACAGCCTTCAAGCATTTAAGACTTTCAGGAATTCTGTAGCAGAAAGAAGGCATAGGCCAGCAAATCGCTAAGATTCAACATACAAGACCTAAAAGAAAAATTGACCGGAAGATAGAAAGGGAAGAGATTTGATTATTAAGAAATGACTTAAAATAGCAGGACTCTGTGCAACAAAAATGTAAGAACATGGACTACTAGTGCAGGATTCAAGGGCAAGATAGCAGAAGACAAATATACTTGTAAAGACTTAAAGCAACACATCAGAATTTCATGCATTTGGAGGCACTTGATACACATGCAACATCATCCCTGTTTCTTATACATTACTGCAATCAAGAGGACTGGATGGTTGCAGATTTCCCAAAATACAAACAATAAACAAAGTATGATGGAAAAATATTCATAATTCTAATAAAGAAAGGCTAGGCAATTGTATCTAATGGGAGGGGAAGTACACTGGTGTAGGATTATCCACACTAAACCAAAAATAATCTTTTGAATAGAAAAGTTGCGTTTATAAAGCCACAAAGTAGTTTCCCTGAAATATTTTTACTATAAATCACAAAGTAACTAAGACACTTCAGAAAACTGAGATGAGATGTTAATAACAAAATGAAAACCTGCCAACTAAACGTTTACTTAACAAATGGGGGAAGGAAGGGAAGAAAGAGGAAAGAGGCAAAGGGTAGGAGGAACACCATGTGACAAACAGGTCTCCCAAATTAACTTAATTCTTCCAAGTTCCCCTGAAATATGGCTGGAGGTATGAGCTGGTAAAGAGATAAACAAACAGCTCAAGGACGAGTATGATCAGGAAGGTTTCAGAAGCCATGAGGCAGATCATCTGAAAAAGGATTTTCTGAAAGGTCAGCTTCAAGCATCTGTGTAAACAACTCTTCTGGAATACAGCCTGCATTACTGACACAGAGAATTTTAAACTTTACAAGGACATTTTCTCACCTGTTTTTAATACACTATTAAAAATGGGGACCAATGGATAAAAACTACCAAGAGATAGGATGATGGAAATCAAGCTGTACATTTTATGAGTATCATGAATCATCTGGTTGTGTCTGTTTTTAAGAGTCAGAGGTTTATATTACTGGCACAATGGTGCAGAACGAAACACGACAGAGTAACCACAGCATGGTGGGACAGCACTCATGACTAAGAATGCAAGTACTGAGGAACAGACTATATTCAAAATAGAACTGAAGAGTAGAAAAATGTGTGTCAGTGACATGTGAATCCGGAATAAAACAGGGTACGTTAAAGACATTAGACTAATGGGGCATTTGTTCCAGCATCAATGTTTGATATGGATGCAGATCTTTAACGTCAGGTAAAAATAAAGTGTATCATTTTAGGATACTAATTATCCAGACACAAAATAGAGAACAAATCAAACTCATAAGTGGAAAGGCTTAGTTTTTCTTGGAGCTAATAGCTGATAAATTTATGAAATAGCTACTGAACCACCAAATGACTCCATTACTTCAAGACTGTTCTCACTAACTAATGAGGACATTATAAAACAGCTGCTAGTAACCTAATCCATATATTACTGGATTTTTATTTAAATAAAGAATGAAAAATCCCGAATGGATTTATAATTAGGTCTTTGAATTTCAGCAGCATACACCCAGATAATTTGATAGTGAAGGTTAGCAAAGGCACCTGAGATACAGCAGAAGCCTGGCATTTAACACAAAGATGCTAAAATGTTTAAGGATCCGCGTCTCAAGTTGAAGGGGTAAAACTCGATGTTTGACAAATCAATCATTGATGACATTGTGCAAGTAAGACATCAGAAACGTGCAGAGATCCTATGAAGAATAGCAGGGGACAGAGAGGGGAGATAAGAGAAAATCAGCACAGAAAGCTGCATCTTAGGTACAAAGTAAAAAGCAAAACTGTACCTGAACAGGTTATTATACAAAAAAGTTACACT